GTTTCAGATTTTCGTTTGCGATTTCTGTATTTTGGACACTTTTTTTTCAACGGAATGGGTCATCGTTTGATATTAGAGATTTTCGTTGGATCTCAAATCTCGTTCAGTTTCCAGCGAATAAATGTTATTATCGTGTTTGGGATAATGATATCTATTTGTGGTAATTATGTAAGATTAATCCAACACATTTAAATAATGTATGATTTACTCCTTAAATTCTATCCCTTTTCGAATGTTTCTTTAGAGTTTTGTCCGAAAATGTTCAGAAAATCGAAAATTCCCTCAAAATGTAAAATTTGTCTCGCGAATTATTTTTACGAATTCGTAAAGAATTCATAAAGTATCTGAATGTTCTCTCCGATTTTTTTCGACAAAACATTCCCAATTTGTGAGCACCTTTCACATTATCTTATTCTGATTTCGGTGAATTCGGCATCAGAATCGGAAACTTATGCAGTGTTTATTTCCGAATTCTGGAAAAACTCGGAACAAATTGTTAGCTGGGTTATAAGAAAAAAGCTTTTTCGAAAAATGTGTCCTAAAAATATGTCCAATATATAGCATTTCCACATTAAATGAAACCTTTTACAAATTAAATGAACCCTTTTCCAAATTAAATGAAACCTTTTCCAAATTAAATGAAACCTTTTCCAAATTAAATGAAACCTTTTCCAAATTAAATGAAACCTTTTCCAAATTAAATGAAACCTTTTCCAATTGAAATGAAACCTTTTACAAATAGAATGAAACTTTTTCCAAATTAAATGAAACCTTTATTCTTACCTAAGGAAATATAATATTTGCACTAATTTTATTTATTTATCTTACCGCCTATTTATCTTACCGCCTATTCTCCAATGCTAAATCCAATCGAAAATGTATTTTCAAAAATAAAATTATGTGCAAGAGCTGAGCTGTGTGACGTTTCAATGGAACATAACATTGTTGATGTAATCGAGCGATGTATTCAAAAGCTTACTCGGCAAGATTGTTCTAACTACGTTATGGACATGGTTTTGAAAATCCCACAAGCTGCAAGTCGGGAACCTCTTCATTAAGATAAGCAGTTACCTTATCATCAACAATTTATTAAGTTAAATATGTATTTCGCATTTAGGACCGGGTATTCAATTCTTGTTCTAAAATATTTATTAAACGTCAAGAAATACCCCAGTTTGTATTACTATTTATTTAGTTTTATGTAGTAAAGATATTAAATAAAATCACATTTTTATGTTAATTACATAGGCATACAACTATATTTGTTATTATTCTTTGATTTCATTTTCAAATATTGGTTTAAAATTACTGCAAATATTATATTTCCTTGGATAAGAATAAAGGTTTCATTTAATTTGGAAAAAGTTTCATTCTATTTGTAAAAGGTTTCATTCTAATTGGAAAAGGTTTCATTCTATTTGTAAAAGGTTTCATTTCAATTGGAAAAGGTTTCATTTAATTTGGAAAAGGTTTCATTTAATTTGTAAAAGGTTTCATTTAATCTGGAAATGCTATATATAGAGTTTCAGATTTTCAGAGCATATGTTATCGAAAAGATAAAACCTGCAAAAGTAACAAACAAAGATATAAAGATTAATTTCATGCTCTATAGAGTTACCAGCAAAAAAAAGATCATGTGATAGCTGAAAACTTGACCTATGCTAAATTTCTCTATTTGGATTCTTAATATTCTCGCCAAGGGCTTTCATCCCCATAGGAATTTTGCATTACCAAACATTTTGTTGTACAGGGTTATAAATCAAAATTGTAATTGTTTCTAATATGCCATCTTTGGACAATATTTTCAAAAGTTAACTTATAAGAGAGTAGCAAATTATGAAAACCATCTAATTATGAAAACTTCCCAAATTACATGTCATACGTAAATGAAATGTTGTTTCTTGAATTTTTTTTTTTTTAATTGGAAGCAAAAAATGTGTGCATACATTTTTGATAGTCGATTGTCTATCAATCGATGACATGAAATATGCTGTGCACAATTTATATGCAAATCGAAGCAAACAATTTTTTTGTATTTTTTTAATTTTTGTGGAAAATGAAAATCTGATGCAATATTATGATATAAAAGCTATAAACAATTTCTTTGTAGAGTGAGGAATAATAATAAGGCTTCAATAACAGCAGCATGAATTTAGATATTAGATATTTAGAGGAATAATCATGTTGTTTTCCAAGCATGTTAAAGACCATCAGAACATTGTTGTTGTTTAATAAGTACAACTTTTAACTGGAAAAGTTGCATAAAAAGTTTCTAAACCTACCTCAATCCTAATTCCAATTTTCTCAACTAAATGAAAGAATGTAGTACCAAATAAAGGTAGAGAGATGTACAAAAGGGTTTTTGGAAATTCGACATATAAGTGTAGAAAAAAATACTAAACTTTACTAAATTTAGTTCTAATTGTATGTATTTTGAACATATATAGCTGGATTTTAGAATTTTATATGGAATACAGGTTGGGAAGTGGTGTTTATGTATGGAAATGGTTTTATAAAACCGTACATCTTATGTGTATGAAAAGTACTAAATATGGTACAATTTGCATTTAGTTGAGTGTATAAAGATGGAATCCTGAAGATTGACATTAGGTTTGAGGTAGCTTTAAAAAATCGTACTTATGTGTACGAAAAGTACTAAATAGTACTAAATTTGATACAATTTGGTTTTAGGTGAGCAGGTTGATCTGGAGTAGAAATGGGCAGTGGGTAAATACCCAAAGGGTAAATACCCGGTAAATTGGGTAAATACCCATTTGTGGGTATTTACTATATTGAATCGGTAATACAACATCTTACACCCTATTTCCGGGTTTCTGTTATCAAATCGATTTAGAATGGATTGTTTTACGATACTTTAAAGACGTGGGTAAATACCCGAGTTTTACCCCAAAAATTGGGTATAAACTCATTAACTGCGGAACCACTGGACATAGACGGCTAAAATTTTGCATACGTGTTTTTAATGTCAAAGCAAATATAGAAATCCAAAATGGGGTCCCGGCGTCCAGTTTTGATATAGCCCCCATATAACCGTATCTCCCGATTTAAGGTATTTTTTGTCTATTAGACATATTTTACAACCAAATTGGCTGTAATTTGGCACAGAGTTTTCTTTTTAACCGCATATGTCAAATGGTTCCGCATTAAATGAGATTATACCCAATTTTTGGGTAAATACTCAAAATAGTGGTACCTTTGTATGTGGGCTACCAGTAAACCTGGACCTACACACATAAATTTTTGCATGGACATTTGGTACCCAAAGAGAACACTCAGTCAATTGTACTAACTATGATACAATTTGTTTCTATGTGAACGGATGTGGTTGGAATTCTGAAATTTGGACTCAACATTTCTGTTGGAGTGGTAGATTGATTTACACCTTTGGGTACGAAAAGTGCAAAATTGTACAATTTGGATTTGTGTTGGAGTGCAGGATTGAGTTATGGAGGTAGTTTTGAAAAGTCGTAATAATTACGAATTGGAATTTCGTACTTATGGGTACGAAAAGAACTGAAGCTTGGATATTTATAGAAAACCACTGAGATATCGGATGTTTTCTAATAGTGATATTTCAATTTTTGGCGTTCTTTTATTTAGACGGTGGCGCAAAAGGAATTAATATATACGCCAAGGTCTTTCATGCTCATAAGGAATTTATTACCTTCCAAATTATGATGCAAACTGATATTAACTCGAGTCTTTTGTTGTTAATGTTTAGTCTTAATAAAAAACCAGTAATAAAAGTAGTAAAGTCGGACGGGGCCGACTATATGATACCCTTCACCACTTTGGGTATATCCAACAGATGGAATCCTAACAGACATCGCATTTTTGAAGGACCATTAACATGAAATTAAACATGTCAATCTGCAACCTATACTAAATTTTGGTCAGATATAGAGTTACTTCTTACAATGGGACAAAATTATGTAAATTAATTTAAAGCAAAATATCGAAATCAAAACCGATTTCATCGAAACTTGCCACATGTTAGGTTACACTTTTTTCAGTATGTTTTTTTGCATTCGGCCACATTTCGAGTTCTTCCTTTACTTATAAATCCAAATTTCGTGCAAATGGAAGGATATATGGGACTTTGGTGCACCATTTACATAAAATTGGACCAAAATATATATGGGAGCTATATCCAAATCTGAACCGATTTTCACGAAATTTTACATATATCGTTCTAGACTTAATTCATTACGCTATGTCAAAATTCGTGCAAATCGAAAGATATATATGGACTTTGGTGCACTATTTACCTAAAATCGGACGAAAATATATATGGGAGCTATATCTAAATCTGAACCGATTTTCACGAAATTTAACACACATCGTTCTCGACATAATTCAGTACGCTGTGCCAAATTTCGTCCAAATCGAAGGATATATAGGGACTTTGGTGCACTATTTACCTAAAATCGGACGAAAATATATATGGGAGCTATATCGAAATCAGAACCAATTTTCCCCAATTTCAATAGGGTTTGTCCTTGGGCCAATTAAGTGAACTGTGCCAAATTTCATTCAAATCGGATCACAAATGCGACCTGCACTTTGTTAACAAAAATACATGGACGGACGGACGGACAGACGGACATGCATAAATCGACTTAAAAAGTGATTCTGTGCATATTCTCACAAGGAACCATATGTCTATGTCGTTTCCTGTACCACAGTGTGGTGAAGGGTATAAATAATACATTTACAAATATTATTTTTTTCACTTTATAATAGAAATTCTATTCTAGGAACCCAAACATTTTTTTTCTTTTTTTATAACAAGATGATAATAACGCTTTATTATTACAACTTTTGGCATGCATCTTTACAAAATGCTTTTTTAAATAAAAAATGCTTTATTTTCTCTTTTCTGCACACTTTTCTTTTCAAAAGTCTTTTATATATTTCAATCAAAAGTTATTTAAAAAAGTATCATTTTATTATGTTTTTTTTTTCTTGTATCTTTGTAGGATTACATCACACTACTCAATTACTGGGATACGGTTGTTGTATTTGCTGTCCCCTTTACAACCATTGCCGTTTTGAATACCTTTACGGGTTGTACAGTTTGGAAATTTGCCACGGTTCGAAGAACTTTAACAATGCAAAAGTAAGTAGAACGAATACCCAAAGGCATCGAGACATTAATTTGAAATCATCAATTTGTATAAAATGGGAAGAGAGTGAGTTTCCTTTCGATACGGTTACTTTTAAAGAAGCATTTGCATAGATTAAATTACCATGGTCATGTTTCGGTCAATGGAATTTCACTTTTAATGGTTACATAACATTGAAGTAAATGGAAATAGAAAATAAATGGAAAAACTAACGGCCAATATGGCTGATGAACGGCTAAAATAATTTCAATACGTTGGGGAAATCGATGGGTGGTCAAACAAATACAAAAGGCATTACTTTTGGCCAGACACCAAGAGGTGGATATTTTAAATACTTAAAATCGATCGAAACTTTTATATGGGGATTATGTCATTATAACGTTTTTAGTAGAAAGATGTGACAATATATGGGAACATAAAATATCAAAAAAAAACCCCTCTTCGTTTGAAAATCGAGGGTACTGTTATATTGGTCCAATCCGAAAAACCTAAGGCAATGTTAATAATATTAGGCAGGGAGATAAAATTATGTAACAAAATTAGGGTCATGGTCTGGGAAGTGGAAAGAAAGACCTTGGTAAGTATATGAAAACCCCAGAAGGAAAATGTTGCCATAGATCAAAAGTCAGAGGGTCGACAGTAAAAAAAAATGATCATATTTGTTGTTACATTTCTTCCGGTAAATCGAATTAGGAATATTTTTGTAGAACATTTCGTCCTTCTAACTCGATTCTTCGTGTGTTCTTTTCGTCTTAAGGTATCGTATGAACTAGGATTATCGACTTCGCTCTAAAATTAACAAAATGGCTGACCTTTGAAAAAATATTTTTGGAAAATCGCCGATTTTTGACCAAAAACCAAGTTAAAAAATAAGGAAGATCTTCACCGATTGGCTTTATCCTAGTTCATACGATAGATGTATACTCACAGAGAAACGTGTAAAAATTTGAAATCGATTGGGTTATTAGTTTTTGAGTTATCGTGCCCGCCATTCGCAAAAGAGAAAAACGCATTTAAAGTTTGAGAAGCCCTTCAGCCGTTACTTGATGTTGACACAATAAATCGGCTATATCTTCAAGAGTACTTGAGATTTTCACTTGCAATTTTGTAGGGACATTCTTGAATTAGAGTTGATTCGAATTAAATCATACAAATTTTTGACCCCAAGAATGGGGGTCCCCTTAATTTTTTTTTAAACTGGCTCCAATTATCGCAGAATGCGAATTATTTTGAAAAAATTATTATAAATTTATGCCAAATACGCCAAAAAATATTTTTTTGAGGAAAACCCGGTTTTATACATTTCTTGAACCGGTTATTTCGATAATAAAACCGGTTTCAATACCTGATATGCATATCATTAGAAAGCTAGTAAACAAACGCGTTAACTTTATTGAACCGGGTGATTTTTGGTTTTATTTACTAAAGAAACCGGTTCAAAAATTAAGAAAACCGGTTCTTTTTTTCCTCGAAATTTATTTTTTTTTTTTGTAATTTTTAGAAAATATTTCGAACAATTCCAACAATTCTTCATAATAAGGAATGTATGTATCTGAATTTCTTGAAATACCTACATATAGGGTTTTAGTGACAAAAAAAACGGGTAAAATTGAGAATAGACCAATAAAACCTTCAAATGTCGATTTCTCGTCTTTGAAAACCCCATCTAAAATCTTATGAGCAACATTTTTGAAGAATATTGCGATAACGAAAATTCGCAGCATGTGATAATTGGAGTCTAAGAAGTAATTGGGTCGAGTAATGTGAAAAAAAACTACAATATAACGAATATTTAGGGGTATTCGATTTACAAATGTATGTCCGTCCGTCCGCCCGTCTGTCTGTCTGGTCGGTTGCTACTCAGATAACTCTCTAAAGGAGTAACCGATTTCATCCAAACTTTGAACATCGTAGTATTTAATCCAAACTTAAACCAAGATCAAAGGTGGGGAATATCGTGAAAATGCTGAGAATTTTGAAAAAAAAGAAAAATAATTTTATAATATTATAACAAGGGACTATCAGATGCAAAACACACATGGTAAAACCTATTATCTTCACCAAGTCCCGATCAAATCTTTTTGGTACCTCCCCATTAAGGGGTCAATATTAGGCGAGTGGAATGTCCAATTTACCCCAAACTTAGCACATTGTATTATTTTTATAAACCCTAGATCACGTCCGAAGATGGGTCCCATCTTACCTCCATCCATCTGTCTGTCGGCAATACCAACTGATACTTTTTTCTTGTTTGGTTTCGTATTTGATGACAATTTTACCTAACAGGAATTATTACTCCGGATTTTCAATATTAAAAAAAAAATAGTTTACGAATGTTTCCAACAGATAGAGTTTAGGTACGCATTCAGTCGAAATGGGTATAAAATCTCCCTACCAAAAATTATTAAGATTCGCTCACTTTTGTGATTAGACCCAATATAATCTAACGGGGTAAATTCCGTACTCGAAATAGTCAGTTTTTATCCATCAATGGATAAAATTGTAAGAGGATTTAGTCATGTACGTACATCTGCACATCTACTGTTGTATTCGAAAAGTATCGATAGACATTAAAATATAATTCAATAGTTGCAAAAACTGATATAACATATACTATACCGAATTTCTCCTTTTGGGTTGTTAATAAACTCGTCAAGGGTTTCATTCACATACGGACCGTGAGATCGATTTTATATCACAGTATGTATTCATTCCATGTTAGTTACCTGTCCAGGATTTCTTCTAGATATCAATGTGAGATTGGTGTATGTTGGAAGATTGTCTCCTCACATTTATTTGCTCGGCAATACAAATAAAAACTCACATTTGAAATTAGAAAAGCTTATGTGTGTTATCGGACAACAATATATTTCTCCAGAAATTGCAATAGTGTGTTATTGTTTGTAATCTTCCAAGAAAATGTTTTTTAATATAATTACAAACACATGTGTTCAAATGTTTTGAAAATAATTATCAGTATGGTATTTTTTTTTCATTTCCTTTGCTATGCCTTTACCTATAAAGTCTGTGTGATTTTTATAATTTTGTTGTAAAATTTTCCATTCATTAGAAAAACTCATCAATTGGCGATGATGCATGACATGACTGTTTCAACACCATCAACATCGACAGCAGTAGCAGTATCGGCAACATCATCGATGTCGACCTGTTCAATTACGGTCAATACAACACCGACTGCTGTAGTAGCAGCCTCCTGCTCCTCCTCCTCCTCGTCAGCAACACCAGTCTCAACTACGACAATTGCAGCCAGGACAAATGCAGGATTAGAAACATCTGGATGTTGTGAATCAACATCAACAACAAACAATACAGTGACAACAACATATCGTCTGTCAAAGGCCAGGACGAGCTCGTTGAAACGACAAAAATCAAATTCTTGTACGTCGAACAATGCACACATGAATGGACATGATGAACATAATCATCACTATGGCCCCCATCATATCACACAGCATCCAAATGTGGAACCACAACGCAGTATTATGATAAAGCATCACCATCGAGCTCATCACCATCAGCAGCAGCTGCAACAGCAGCAGCATCAACAACCATCGAAAAGTATTTCAGCTGGCGGCAAACGCCCCAGCAATGGAATTTATTCTTTTACTTCGAAGAAATCAGGTGAGCCAACACAAATCAATTTCAAATAACTTTACCGTAACTTTGTACCGTTATTCCGTGCAAGGTTTATGATAACCTTGAACGGAATTGTTATCAAAGGGTGCAAATAAAAATATTTTTCCTAAGAACAGGAAGAAAATTCTTGTTTAAACGTTAAACGATATTCTGGTGTTTCGTATTATGTTCTTGAAGATTTGTTTGCCGCATATCAAGGGTTATAGAATATGTAAGAGTAATGCAATAATGGAGGCATTTTTTGAATACTATTGGAATATAAGCAGATCAGAAGAAAAAAGATCAATTCTTTTGAAAAAGTACTTTCGGTAAATTTTTACAAGAAGACTGTATAGTATGTTTCGATGGAGAACTTATACCAATTTTTTTCAAGGAGAAACTTAGGTATTTTCTACCACTTTGGTCCTTTTCTACTGATCATGGAATACAAATTTTTTTCTGCTACAGCAGAAGGTCCCTAACCTTTTACAAAAGAAGGTGGAGAACAAAAGACGAGGTTTTTTTTTGATGAGGTTTTTATAGAAGAAAATCTATTGGTATTTCATCGAAGAAGTTTTTCCCTTTCTATAGGAGCGAAATTTATTATGGAGAAGACCTTATGCCCTTCTTAAAAGAAAAAAAACCTCTTCTATTGAAGAAAAACTCATGGTTTTCTCTTTAAGAGGACCGCAGGGTCTTTTATAGAAGAATACGTCAGGGTCTTCTATAAAAGAAGACCTCAGATTCTTCTATAGAACAAGACCTGAGTAAATTTTATAGAAGATCTAAGAGTCTTCTATAGAAGACAAACTCAAGATCATCTATAGAAGAAGACCTCAGGATCTTCTATAGAAGATGACCTCAGAGTGTTCAATAAAAGTAGACCTCAGGGTCTTCTATAGAAGATCTCAGGGTCTTGTAAAGAAGAAAACCTCAAAGTATTCTAAAGAAGAATACCTTAGGGTTTTCTAAAGATTTAGACCTCCTTTGAAAAAACAGCTATGGTCTTCTAATGAAGGAGATCCCAGAGCATTCTATAGAAGAAGACCTCAGGGTCTTCTATAGAAGAAGACCTCAGGGTCTTCTATAGAAGAAGACCTCAGGGTCTTCTATAGAAGAAGACCTCAGGGTCTTCTATAGAAGATCTTAGGTTCTTGTAAACAAGAAAACCTCAGGGTCTTGTAAGAAGACCTCAGGAAATTTTATAGAAGGCAAAACTAAAGATCATCTATAGAACAGGACCTCACGGTCTTCTATAGAAGAAGACCTCCATATCAGGGTCTTCTATAGAAGAATTATCTAAAAGAAGACCTCAGGGTCTTCTAAAGAAGACCTACTATAATAACCTAAGGATCTTCTATAGAAGAATAATTATCTAGAAGAAGAGTCTTCTATTGAAGAAGACCTTAGGGTCTTCTGTAGAAAAAGAACTCAGGGTATTCTATAGAAAAAGACTTCAGGGTCTGGTATAGAAAAGGAATTGAGGGTATACTACAAAAAAAAACACACACACACACATTTCTAGAAGACCTCAGGGTCTTCTATAGAAAAATACTTCAGAGTTTTCTATAGAAGAAGGAGACTTCATGATCCTCTTAGAAGGATTTTCCTACCTTTTTTTTAAACCGACCTTATTTTGTGATATTCGCTTGTAGATTGCTACAGTCTCATGTTTTCCTGGAATCAATTTGTTGTTACTTTGATTCACAAGAAAAACGTAGCTCTGAATAGAAAGAGAGGGCACGAATATAGAATGTGGGATGTCGAAATTTTTGTTTATTTCATAACATTGTTTGTAGGATTACATATTATAGCTAGCAAACAGAACGAGGTCATATTGAACACGGTATGCAATATAATTTTTCAGACAGCGTTCACCAGGAGGCTGTCTTCGGGCACTGGGAAATAAAAAACATAAACACATAGAAAAATACAAATACAAAAATAACATGTATCAGTTGATTTTCTATATATATATATACGACAAAATTTTTGTGTGTGGAAATTCCTATTGGGGGTAAAAGACCTTCACGAGTATATGAAACTCCCAGAATTAAAAAAAAATCGCCATAGGTCAAAGTTCGGAGATATGGCGTGATATATGTTTATATGTTTTATTTATTTATTTATTGTTTTTTTTTAATCATTCATAAGCTCTTAAAAATCACCCTTTATTGTAAATAGTATAAAAAGCTGTGACGTAAATGAATTACTTCTTTGAATGGGAGCAAAATAAATGATTATGAATAAATAAATATACATAAAGTTAAGAAATGCATTCGATGAATTACAAATGAAAAATGTATATTTCCTATGACGGGGGGTAGATAAAGACATGATTTACTTTTAAACAAAAGACATCTACACACTTTCATACAATTCACCTGTTGCAAACTATGTGTGAGTGATAATTTTTCCAAAGCATTTGACTAGAAGTCAAACAACAATTCCATGTAAAAAAGTTACGGAACACTCGGAGCTTTAAAAATAGAATAAACATCTAGTGTGGCATTTTTACATATAATGATTGTTTTTATGAAAAATAAAATTCATAATAAAAAAAAATCCCTTGTCAAGTATATTAAGAAGCCAGAGGGAGAGATTCGCCATATTTTTTTTTTTTTTTTTTTTTTGCTAATATAATAACTCTAAAGAAGAAAACCCTTCCAAAACATTTAGCCTTTTCGTACCTGTTTTTCATTATTATCTTCATGGACCTTCAAAACATATCACAAGACAAGATTTTTTGACCACTAAATATTCTACAAAAATGTCGCCTTATAGATTTCAGATATGGTCCCCAAAGACAAGAAATCGATATTCGAGTGTTTTCATTGTCCTTTTCCACTTTTAACCGATCCGTGTTCGGTAAACTTTATGACTACGAATACTACAAAATTTTAAATAAAATATACATTTTGAAAAACTCCCAAATTCATCTAAAATATTTACAATAATTTCATCCTAATATGGCGAATAAACCAGATTATTGCGCCGGTTTCAATAAACCAATTAAACTTTTATTCTTACCATTTAAAAGCTTAAAATATTGTTAATCGCATAGAATAAACTGTCTGTTTAATAATTAAATGGTAAAAAAATTTCTATCAAACATATCTAATGATTATTTTCACAAACATTTCAATAATATCACAACAATTTTTCTACTACGCTCAACTTAACCAATATTTGCGCTAATTTTTCCTCTTTCTCCTCCCAAGAAAAACAAACACCACCAACACAATCACAATTCATTGTGCGGCCGTGTTTTGGTATTGTTTTCCGCTTCTTTCCTTACATAGTGGTTGTTGTTTTTACAACCGTTTTGTTTGTCTACTGTTTGTGTTGCTAACAACCCCCAAATTTCCAGTCACTCGATTGTGACTAGTTTTGCATGCCATTGTGTCTCAGCTCATTGGTGTCAGAAAAATCGCATATGTATTTTCCAAATTATTTCGATGGACCGAAGCTGGTGGAAGTGCCCCAAATAAAGCCAAAACAATTCAATCGACTGGTAAGGTTGGGCCAACGGTTTTTTGAGACTTCAAGGCATTTTATTGATTGGCTATCTGCAAAAGGGTAAAACAATAAATTCAGAGAACTATTGCAACCTTTTGGATCAATTAAATGTACGTATTCGAGAAAAACGCCCTTGGTTACAACACAAAAAAGAATAATTTTTCATCAAGACAACGCACCAGCGCACAATAATGTTTTAACAAAGGCTAAAATCAACGAATTAATGTACGAGTTGCTTGACCACCCAACTTGATCTCCTGATTTAGCTCCCAGTGACTTTGTTCCCAAATCTAAAAAAAAATTCCTTGCTGGCAAGCTTTTTACCTCAAATGAAGATCTATTCTCTTTCATTGATAGGCTAAAAAGTTCCCGAACCGCTCTCGTAGTCCCGTAAACGATACCACAATTTTTCCTATATTTCGGATGCCTTTTTCCGAATTGCTTATAATTTAGCATGGCATAGCTCGTAAAGGTATTTTAAATGTACATCTCATGATGTATGGTATAAAAATTTCTACCCGGTCGAACTTAACAAATTGTTTTGCTTCATTTTATTTATTTGTTTTCGGGGCAAAATTGTCGGGTCACCCAAAAAACGACCTTTTGTCCTTTATTTGGTATAATAGAAATTATATGGCTGATCCTAGTCATATGCATTGCTACATATTTACATGGAAATCGTCATTATGAAGAATAGAAAAATAATCTAAAAATATATTTTCATTTGTCCAGTCCTAAGTAAATGTTATGGTATGTTATTTGCTCTTTATGGCTATCAGATATCTTTTTTTTTTTTGTATTATTTCTGTTGTCGTTACTATGAGAAATATACATGTGTGGAAATTTAATGATGTGCTGTGTTCCAATACTTTTTAATAATAGAACAATTTACATCAAAAATATAGCTTTCAGAATACAATGAAAACCAGTAAGGAAAGCAGTAAAGTCGGACGGGCCGACTATATGATACCCTTCACCACTTTGGGTATATACAACAGATGGAACCCTAACAGACGTCGCATTTTTGCACCATTTACATAAAATCGGAAGAAAATATATATGGGAGCTATATCTAAATCTGAACATATTTTCACGAAATTTAAAACACATCTTTCCAGACTTATTTCAGTACGCTATGCCAAATTTCGTGCAAATCGAAGGATATATAGGGACTTTGATGCACTATTTACCTAAAATCGGACGAAAATATATATAGGAGCTATATCTAAATATATAACACACATAGGCATAATTCAGTACGCTATGCCAAATTTCGTGCAAATCGAAGGATATATAGGGACTTGGGTGCACTATTTACCTAAAATCCGACGAAAATTTATATGGGAGCTATATATGGGAGCTAAATCTGAACCGATTTTCACGAAATTTAACACACATCGTTCTAGGCTTAAGTCAGTACGATGTACCAAATTTCGTGCAAATCGAAGAATATATAGGGATTTGGGTGCACTATTTACCTAAAATCGGACGAAAATATATATGGGAGCTATATCTAAATCTGAACCGATTTTCTCGAAATTTAACACACATCGTTATAGGCTTAATTCAGTACGATGTGCCAAATTTCTTGCAAATCGAAGGATATATAGGGTCTTTGGTGCACTATTTACCTAAAATCGGACAAAAATATGTATGGGAGCTATATCTAAATCTGAACCGATTTTTCCCAATTTCAATAGGGTTCGTCTTTGGGCCATATAAGTGAACTGTGCCAAATTTCATCCATTGTTAACAAAAATACATGGACGGACAGACGGACATGCATAAATTGACTTAAAAAGGGATTCTATGCATATTCTCAAAAGGAACCATGTGTCTATCTCGTTTCCTTTTGCCTGTTACAAACATATGCACAAAGACAATACCCTGTACCACAGTGTGATGAAGGGTATAAAAATTGCACTGCTACATAATTGAATAGCCAAACCGACGATGGGATGGACGGATGACAATCATGGTAATACATTTTATGCGGCTAACTTTATATTTTTTTTTCTAATAAATCCTTATGATAATACCAAAAAGAAGTCAATTCATAATTATTCTGGAACAATGCTAATGTATGCAGCATTGACAATATATGTATGTTAACAATAATAATAATATAAATGTCAGGGTTAAACTAATTGTATTTAATGAGAGGTTGTTTGTTTTTTCCGTCATTAGTGATTATTTGTCGACACTGCTACCCCAACATTTTTTTAGCACACAGTACAAAAATAACAACAGAAGTTTCCTTTAGGCTGACAACGTAGACATTGAATATGCCTTCGGCAGAATATCCGGTCAAACAAAAACAAATAAAAATTTCGTAACGTTTGGCCGGGATAAACTTTTTTATCCTCCACAATTAGGTGAAGATTCAAAATAGCTAAAATATATCGGAGCTTTTATATGGGCGCTATTCCATGATTCATATTCTATAGAAAGATTTACCATCCAGTGGGTACCTTTATGCCAAAAATGAGTTTCAACATTCCAGGGCAACTTTAAATTACAGACCAAGCTGAAGATGTTGTGATAGTGAAATCAAAGTGAATATTGTTTGAACTCAATTAAAGTGAACAATGGACACAACTCACGCGAATATGCTGAAGGCGTAATGCATTGACAGATAGTCGTTCAGCCCTGAAGGAAAAATGTTACAAAGACTACCACCAAATTTCCATTAAACAGGCGATATCGTTGGAGTAACAGATCCCTTATAGGCATATAATAGACAACTCCTTGTAACGTAACATGAAAACGGATGAACACATTTCATAGAAACTTCTTCTCTTTCTTTATTAATTTTGCCTGTTGCCAACATTTTCACAACGTCATATAAAATCAGTATTATATTAAATTTACAAATTGCATTGGATATAAATGACCGGACCATTCGAAGAATATTTATTAAGAAATTAAGTCGCACAATTTTTAAAATGAAATATTGGAATATGAAATTTGTTTAATGAAAGTGCACTTAATTGAACATTTTGTAAGTCTGCATGCATACATAGTGCAAACACACAAATGATAACTAGCCGTCGTACAGTGGTTCAAAATCGTTTTTTTTTTCTTGGTCCAAAGTCCGTAACTTTTGAACGGATAAATATATTCTGAACCAATAGAGTTGCTGAGGAGTTCAAGGTCATAGTTCAACTTTGGATTTTTTTTCTATATTTTTATAGTTAAAACATTGTTTTTAAGTTCAAACAATTTTTACACTATATAAAAAAATAAATCTTCAAAGAGAACACCTTAATTCGATAGAAAAACTTGTCACAATCCGTTAAAATTAGGAAAAAATGGACGTATTTTTAATTGTTGTTCGGGAGATTTTCTTTACAATGAGAACCCTCAACATAAAATTAAATTACAGTTGAAAAGCGTGTCAAAACTGTACAAAATATCGACATTTTGAAAATATCGAAAAAGTAGACCAACACCAACGTACACAGGATATTATTTCGGAAGTGGCTTGGAAGCCGCTGGTTTAATATGAAAATTGTCATTGCAGAAAAAATGTATGAGTACGAGGGCGATTCGGAAACTTCTTAGCCTATCAATGAAAGGTTAGTTTTTCAAAACATATTTTTTTTTTTAATTTTCAATTTAATCTCCTGAAAATTCAATATACTTCCAACACTTTTCTGGTAATTGTATCCCTTGATTGAAATAGTTTTCCTCAATGCCTTCAAAATAGTGGTTTACAACTGTAATTGCATCTTCATTTGAGGTAAAACGCTGGTCAGCAAGGATTTTTTAGATTTGGGAACAAGTGGAAGCCACTGGGAGCTAAATTAGGAGAATTAGTTGGGCGGTCAAGCATCTCTTACTTTAATTCGTTGATTTTAGTCATTGTTAAAATACTCTTGTGCGCTGGTGCGTTGTTTTGATGAGGCATTATTTTTTGGTGTTGTAAGCCAGGACGTTTTTCTCGAATTAGTACATTTAATAGGTTGCAATAGTACTCTGAATTTATTGTTTTATCGTTTGGCAGATAGTCAGTCATAGAACTGCCCTCGTATGTCCCTAGAGACTATACCTAAAGTGGAACCAATATTGATTGAATCATATAGGAATTACCGAACATTTGAAGTTATCATTATAAGAGGTGCTATGCCTAATTGAGAACTGATATAGCTACATTTCGAACCTCACATTTTGACATCACAATTCCATTGAAAAACGTGCTCAAGAATCCCAAAATACCGAAAATTGGGATGTGTGGAGGCTACACGAAAAAATTCACCTATATATATATATATATAATTGTTAAGTGGAGAGATTTGCTACCCAATAAGAACTCGTAGTACTAAATTACAGTGAATTTCGTTTGTAACTAATCGAAATAATCATTTCCGACCCTATATGACATATTTCTTCATCAGCTTAAAAGTCTACGTCGATTTACGCATGATCGTCTGTTTGATACGATAGAGATCGCTATATTTAAGATAGAGCTCTGAAATTTTGTACAGATATTTCCAATACTCCTAGGATGTTTGGTCCACGTTTATGTGTAACCCCCATATAACGGTAGCCCCTAAAGTAATTTTGGGGATTTGGACACGATTTCCAATCGAATTAAGTGTAATTTGGTATGTTCGGTTCTCATTGTTTATCAGTCCTCCGAACCAAACATTATTAATATTGACCCACGTTTCAGGGTAGCCACCATATAACGGTATCCCCTGTATTCGGTATTTTGGATACGTTTTCCAACTGAATTGGCTGTTATTTAGCATTTTGGGTTCTCTTAGTGTGACACATCTCCGTACCAAAAATTATTAATATTGACCCAAGTTGTTTTGCGGATTTTGGACAGGTTTTTGAGTTCTCATAGTGTGGCACATATCCGTACCAAAAAAATTATTATTATTCACCCAAGATTCAGGGTGGCCAACGTTATATAGTGGCTACCTTGAATTTTGGGGAATTAGGACACGTTTTCCAACCGAATTGGCTATTATTTAGCATTTTGGGTTGTCATAGTATGACACATCTCCGTACCAAAAATTAGTCGTTATTTGGAAAATTTTGGATACGTTTTTCAACCGAATTGGCTGGATTTGGTATTTTGAATTCCCATAGGCTCTAAAATCTTACTACCAAAAATATCAATATTGATCTCAGTTTTATAATAGTCCCATATAACGGTATTCTATTCTCCATTCGATATTTTGAAAATTTCACCTATTTTCAATATGTTCAAGGTCCTTTCATAACATGTGTTTTCTGCTAGGAGCCGCCCATTAATTTCAGATATTTTGAGTGTCATCCTCATGGGGGAGGGTACAAAAAGTTCGGCGTGGCCGAACATAACATCATTTTTAATTGTTTTGTTATTCCGTTTGCAATATTCGTCGGGGACCCCATAACTTATATTTCTATATTCTTGATCATCTATGTCGATTTATCCCAATGAAATGGGGATATATTGGCTCAGATTTCGGGAAATATCGAATCTTCCCAACAACAAGTTACCATGGCCGGACCAGTTCCCATTTTAAACTCCCAATCGATTTCAGTTATTTTAAATGTTAAATGTTTTAAATGTTTATCTCAGGGTGAAGGAAAATAAAAAGTTCGTCCAGGCCGAACTTATGTTCAAGTTATATTATATCTGAATATAATGACCTAAATTGTGTTAAATGACGCACTTATAAAATTAAATCTATATGTGTCTAAAATTACATAACTTCTGGCCCATGAACCGTTTAAATAAAAATACATTAACACTTATCCCTCCCCCAACAACATTTGCAGGAAGACGTAATGCCACCAATTCATCCCAGTTGAAGGTAACAAAAATGCTGCTGATCGTCTCAACGGTGTTTGTGTGTCTCAATCTGCCAAGTTGTATAATGAGGATAATAACTTATATTGAGGTAAGTGATGGTGTACGTGTGTGTGTGTCCCTCTCTCTCTCTCTTCTCTCTCTCTCTCTCTCTCTCTATGTAAAAAGGTATAAATCAACAAATTGCAACAGAAAATTCGTATTAAAAAATGTGTAGAATTTAATGCAAAAATTCCTAAAAAATATTGAATGGTCTAGGATGTCCAAAGCTCGTTCGGTCCTTTGAAGTCTTTCATGGAAAAAATCTAATAATGTCACGTACAAATGCAGTACTCTAGTTGCAAAAGAATGACAGATTCTAACAACAACAACAAAATAAGTATTCTTAAGGCACAAAAATACGAACATGGAAAACATACGACAAAGCAATGAGCTTAATATCGTTTCTATTTAATAATAAATTACCATTGAATTGTGGTCTATTTTCCGAATAATATAATGACCAACCACGTTCCAACAAATATAGAAAAATAAATTTTTTTCGCTCTGAGCTCTTTTAAAGAATATTTGATGATGTCTGTTGCTAAGAAGAAATGTAATTTATTTTATCATTACAATATAATATATAATAATAATAAAAGACTAATTTTGATAATTTTTGTGGCATACGACCATGTGCTGTGCAGTTTATAACGACTAGAAAAAATAATTTGCCAAAAAAACAAAATGAAATTAACTCGTGAAAATGTGGTGTCAATCGGCCTTGCTTTGAGTATTTTGTGCACGATTTACATAAAATCGCACGCAAATATATATGGGAGCTATATCTAAATCAAAACCGAACTTACCAGACTCAATTCAGTACGCTATTCTAAATTTCGTGGACATCGAAAGTAATATAGGGACTTTGGAAGAAAATATATATGGGAGCTGTATCTAAATCTGAACCGATTGTTTCCAATTTCAAAGAGATGCACCAAATTTCACCCAAATCGAATTATAATGGCGACCTATACTTTGTTTACAATTTAACATAAACAGACGGACGGACATGCTTAAATCAACTCAGAATGTCATTCGATGCCTATTTTGTTTTGCCTGTTACAAACAGAACAGGTTGGAACTCGTCAAAATTGAATTCCATTCTTGATCGTGTCCGTTTATGCCTCATGAACGAAAGTTGTCCAAAGCCGGTCATTGTGTATCCGAACATTCATACCGTATGTCAAGATCAGCATTTGAAATATTGTGAGATAGAGGCATCCTGGCCAAAAAACGTTTTTAATACACAATCGCTCTAAAAAAGGTACATGTGGATTTGTTCAAAGGAGTTTGAAAACAAAAGGTCGGGATTTTTATATAGAGACTATGTCATTGTGTATTGTCTGCTGGTTAGGTTTTATGTATTGTCTGCTGGTATTTGATCCACGTTATTTCTCCAGGAATCTCGAATGCCAATTCGGGATTGAAACTTAAAATCAAAATACCAAAAATATGTCAAAATGGTGCTGTAGAAGTATTAGCCACCCCATTCAGGACCCGAACAGACAAAACAGGTCACTTTTAAATTATCGACTATCTGACGGATTTTTATGTGGAAGCTTTCTATACTAACTTAGACAAATATTGATAATTTTTGTAAGGAAATTTGACTCTCAATGACAGCGTATAACTTCAAATTAGAGTCAATTTCGTTTGAAAAACTTGGCTATATCCCAAAAAAAATTCGAAAAACATAGATATTTTTTGTAGGAATATTTTTTAACCAGTGCACTATGTTTTTTTTACGTTTATTTTGTCATAAACTCTATTTTTAAAGCTATTGAATTTAAATTTGGTTTGTAAACATTTTTTATGCTCCCAAGATGACCTACCAATTTTCATATGATTTGGGGCACTATTTCATATAGCTGCTATATAGCCGATCTGGCCGATTTGTCCCGACTTTTTTGTTTATAAAGCTATTGAAGTGAAATTTGGTTTGTATACAATTTTTATGCTCCCAAGATGACCTACCAATTTTCATATGATTTGGGGCACTATTTCTTATAACTGCATATAACAAAATGTTTGTTCCTTACTTCGGCTATATTTCCACCATTACTGACTGCTTTATTCAAAACAAAGCCCATGTCTCTGTCGTTGAATATTTTGGCTGAAACCGTAGCAGCAATGATATAACGTATTTTGTGAAGCAACTTCGGAGGCTAATTTCCTTTTTAGCCTAGGTCCAGCATCTTCATAATTTAATTTTGAGCGACCTATTTTGTTTGGGGAGACATACTGCTCATCCATAACTATACTTAAATTTTTGCTAAGCTATTTTGAATGTTTAGTTTTAAATCGCTCTAATTTACGGTTGAACTTTGGCAAATGCTTTTTTATATAATTAACAAAATCTTGTTTCGATATCAAACGCATTTGGTCTTCATGTAAACTGATATTATTGATATTCTGTAGCACATATTTCACAAGTGCATCTTCTGAGCGATTTTTACTGCTCCAAATTTCAATAAGAGCTGTATGGGCAAACACATGTTTAAAAAACACGAGTTGGCACAAAATGGCACAAAAAAGGCTAGTTACTCATTAATTAGCACACACTTTTGTTAATAACGTGGCATTTACACCTTTTTGCAATGCTTTGCCATTCACAAGTTACACTCCACGGAACAAAACTACAATTTATAGATTTTATATAAAGTTATACATAAACAAAACATTTCACAGTATTACAACAACAAACAAATATGACAAAAAGGGCATCTCGTCTTAATTTAACATACTTGCACGAACGTTTTCCATAATTACACATTTAATTTTTTTTTTAATTTTGTCAAATTACAAGCACTTGAACTTAGCTGATTTTTACCGCCAGTTGTACAAAAACAATGTGACTTTCAAACTGCTGACTTTTAAAGCTCGCCAGCAAAAAAAAGGGTTGCCACCCGCATTGATATTGAATGTTTTTTTTTTCTTATATGGGTGTCTACATTTAGGAAATCAGTTACATTTCAAAATATGAAAACAAAAAAAAAAAATTGACTTTATGCCAAAAAATCATACTTTTTACCCATAGTGCAGTGAGTGGCTATGCCCTTTTTAAATACTGAAAAGGGGACTGAAATGAGCCATATGGAAGTCAAAACGTTGACTTCCATATGGAAAAATGTGGCAGCTATCTTCCGGAACCAGTATTGCCAAATTACAGTCAAGTCGGTAGAAGAATGCGGCTAAAAACCCTCAAAATATTGAAAATATACCAAAAAATTATGTGGAAGCTAGCGTAGAATAATATTAATAAAATTATTATTATTTTTTTTTTTTTTTGAGGAAGTTTTGTTATACTATGAGAACATACAATTTCAAATTAGAGCTAATTCGACGGGAAAACTCGCCCAAAAGTCCTCTAAATACCTAATAATGGGCTTATTACAAAAACATAAACTTTTATTCATAATTTTTGTTTGGAATGTGTGTTACTCATTCTGTACCCAAATTTCAAAATTACAACTGATTAGATTGTAAAACGTGGTCAAAATCTCTATAATACCGAATATTGAGGTGAGGTGTATTTCGCGTACCAAACATCCTAGGAACAATGGCAATGTATGTTCAAAAATTCAAAGCACTTTCTATATTGCGAACGGAATGAAAATTTTAATATTTTAATAAGGCGCAGTATGGTGGAGCGTTTAGCAATGTGTAGATCTATTGACTTCAAAACAAAGCCTCCATAATCTACCTTTTTGCTGTAACCCCCAGCAAAATACAATAAGAACAAGAAACAAATAAAATTAAAAAAAAAATTATCGGAACATAAAAAAAACATACACTATATTCCATTTATCGGGAACACTAATGCAATCACAATTCTTCATTTTGTTGACAATCTAAAGTTGATTAGTTCCGAGAAAAAAAATGTTTTCAAATACATAATAAATCGTTTTCTTTATTTTCACGCAAACGGAGGACATAAAATAGAAGCTAGTAAATAAATAAATATAACCAATATGATACCGGACCATAACTGGAGGAATAATAAGATAATAAAAAAAACAAGAATAAATAACATCACATAGCGGAAAAATAATTGAATAAATTATATAACGACAACGAAAAAAGGAAAGAGAAATTTATAATATGATATATTTTTTTAATTAATTAAAAAATAAATATAGACTAAATGTTTTTAGTCTATATTTAATCATCTTAATATTTTTGGAATTTAATCACTTTCAAATTTCTTGAGTTAGGTATGTTTGTCGTCCAGAAAAAATATTCAAACACTTCAATATTCAATTTTCACCATCAATTAATACCATCGAATTGTCGGAAAGTTTACTTTATTTTCGATATCTTCCCCATGATCGGAATTTTCACGTCCAATCAACTGGTTCAATTTTGTCCAAGGCACCTACTGGCCGTCCATCTAAGCGGAGATGCGAACTATTTTACTTACTTACTTAGCTGGTTTGTGACAGAACATTTGTTCCATAAGCCGAGCTTACAAATTTGAAAGACCTTCCACTTGATCTTTCCATCTAATTCGGGGCCTTCCCCTCCTGCGTGAACTATTAGTTGGCTTGTTATACCCTTTACCACACTGTGGTACATTGTCTTTCTGCATTATTATGTCTTTCTGCATATGTTTGTAACAGGCAAAAATAATCGTGATAGACCCATGGTTCCTTTTATGAATATGCATAGAATCACTTTCTGAGTGGATTTATGCATGTCCGTCCGTCTGTCCATGTTAAATTGTAAACAAAGTACAGGTCGCATTTATGATCCGAATTGGATAAAATTTGGCACAGCTCATTCGTTTGGCCCAAGGACGAACCCTATTGAAATTGGGAAAAATCGGTCCAGATTTAGATATAGCTCCCATATATATTTTCGTCCGATTTAAGGTAAATGGTGTACCAAAGTCCCTATATATCTTTCGATTTGGACGAAATGTGGCATAACGTACTGAATTAAGTCTAGAATGATGTGTGCAAAGTTTCGTGAAAATCGGTTCTGATTTAGATATAGCTTTCATATATAGCTTCGTCCGATTTCATGTAAATAGTGCACCAAAGTCCCTAT